GACCACGTCTTGCCACGTTCCCTGCTGATTGCAAAGTGGTAGAGTGTGTACCCGAGTGTCTACCCCACCACCCGAACAGTGAATAGTCAGAGCGCCCGCCTCATTAATTGTCACCCATACCGATGCAGCACGTTTTTGCACGATAATAATCATTGAGAGTTGCCTTTGTATATTCATCTGTTGGCATTGCCTACTTGGCAACAGACAACAGACTGTTGAACTCTGAAGACTTGATAATCTCAGCCAGGATAAGACCATTACTTTGAAGTACTATCGATCATAATGATCTTCGCTATTAATAGCGGGAGAGCTCCTCGAGCGATTTTTTTGGTGCAACACAACAGCCGCAACTCAGCAAGAAACAAAAGATTGAAACACCTTCTCTACAGCTTGTAAGTAGAGTACCTATACTACTACGGTAATATCAAGGCGAAATCAACAAGACGTAGCAGTGTTCGCACTCACTTCCTTCGCAACGATCGTGAACGATCCTCGGCTCGGCACATCTGACACCGTCACATAGTCGTTCGATCCTTCCGCGAAGCCGAAACCATCCCACAACGCCGTACTGTTGGACCAAATGGCGTTCCCGTTGACAGAGATCTCGATCGTCTCGAGTGACTTGCCGAGCGTAGGGACCGAGATCGATCCCGTCGTGTCTTGCGGTGTGGTTATTGTGGCTGTAAAGAAGCTGTCAGCGCTTTCCGTCGTCCACTCCACACAAAACGCACCCGTAGCCAATGTGTATCCAGTCTACAAGTGGCCCACACTCGCTCCAGCGGCGTGAGGGACGAACTCCCACGTCCTCCCCGCATCTTCTACAGGGTTCAGACCGCCTATATGCAACGTCAACGACGCAGTCATCCCCGTGGACCAAGAGTGCGCGTGTGAGATGTAGCTACCTAGATTCGTCTCTACAGCCTCGTAGAACGGACACTTAAGCTCACCAGTGTAATAGAACGCCTCCATCGTGGTGGACTTGCCGAAGTTGTTGAGCATGTAGCTCCATTGACGACGCATAATTGCCGTAGCCAACGTCGCATAGCTTGGGTGGGCTCGCAAGTGCGCATCGATCTCCAGACTCGTCATGAAAGGGGAGATCGAGCCTAGAGTTTCAGGCGACACAGCACCAAACTCATTCCAGCGAGCGGTCAAGCTGTGCGAGATCGTAGCAGCGCGTTCTAGCGAATCCGTCACGTTGAAGTGAACCGCAAGCACGTTGCCATCTTGAGGGTAGAACTCGGCACCGAGAGCTGTTGTGTTGTCCCGGAAGAGTCCCACTGAATCGTCCCAGAGTTGGGAGTTGACCGCGCTTTTCAGATCTTCAGCGATCTTACTGAATGTCTTGCCCTGGTAATTGAGTTCTCCGTAGCCCAGCGCGTCTGCCAGCTGCACGTACGACACCAAAGCGTCGTAGAGCAACGAGCTGGCGGCTGTGTTCTTGCCTCCCTGACCCACACGACCCCAGTCGCTCAGGTCCGTGACGTTGAGAAGAGAATCGGACGTATCCACCTTCGCCACAGTGAACTCGAACGCACGTTGGACTCGACCCCATACTTGCCTAACAAAAGTGCGCTGAGCGTCCAGAGATGATACGTGTCCGAGTTGGTTCCTGCGTCCTGGTATCCAAGACCAAGTAGCGTGCCAGCGTAAGGGAATTTTCCGTTCGAAGCCTGAATGGCAATGATCGATTGGAGTGCGTTGCGAACCGATACAAGATCGTCTCCGTTCAGCGACACTGCCTTGGAAAGCGTGGCCACGCCGTAGTCTCCAGGCCACGGCGTGCGGTCACGCTTCGCACCGTCTAGCATTGTTCGCCCACCCTACGGTAATAGGAGGAGAAGCACGCACCTCACTCGCAGATATCCCACACAGCTGCACCGTGTACGCGCCGGCATACCAGACACGGCTAAGCAGGTCGTCGTCCGATTAGAAGTACCCAGAATATTCACGCAGCCTATCGTCGTCCGAACGGGGAGCAGCAGTGAAATGCGTCGAGATGCCCGTCACCTCGACGGAAGTATAGGCGTTTGTCGAGACCGTGAGATAGCGGAAACCGCCGCGTACCTAACTCACGACCAAAGGTGAACGAGGATTTCGGTTCGGCAGGAGCGTACAGCGTGCCATCTAGAACCGGACCGGTCGCACGGTTCGACGCGATTCCGATGTATTGTTTGTTCTCAGTGAAGGCGGCACCCAATTGGGAGCCGCTAGTGGTGGACGCACCGAATTGAACGGTGATAACACCCGACATCTGAGAGCGAAGTCAAAGGTGACAGTAGAGCCGTTGCCGAAAAACGTTGCAGCCAACAGATTCGACTCGGACATTACCGGATGTCCGGAAGAATTGCTCCGAAATAACGTCTCGAGTAGCAGGAGACTGGATGTAAGAATCCCAAGGACCGGAAGTGCTGATGACAATACCGGTCGAGATGGCGACGAGAGCGATTGTCGACTTCATTACCGACAGATCCATAGCCTTCAAGATATTACGGTGTTTACCACTTCGTTAACCCCGCGTACTGACAAGGAAGAGTAGGACGTTCGACTGGTATTCACGGTGCGCTTCAAGTTCAACCGTACATGTTTGTGCAAAGCAAGGTCCAAGTACATGTATAACACTACCACACCTCGTGTTGCTCACACTACGTTTCGTTTGCGCATGAATTGGTCGACAAGGATTGGAATAGCGCGAGCTCCAGGGCATTGACATATGCGCGGAGCTCCCAGCGCTGCTCTCTCGTCTGCGACGGCCAAGTCGATCATCCGATTTAAAAATCTCTCTAGTATCTTCCTCCTCGTTTCCACACTTGTGCAGAGCTTGACGATCGTCTTTGGCTGCTTGTAGCAGTGCAGCATGAACCATCGAAAGCGGTCGCAGTAGCGACACGCACCGACGACTTCACAGCGAGCGTGCTGCGCTGCATGTCGACGGAGCAAGTCAAAGTCGCTGAATCGACGCATCACAACGTAGTCCGGTTCTTTGTGCGTTAATGGCAAATCCGTTGGTGGTTTGAGATACACTTCGACCTTGTAGAACACGACACCGTCTCGAACGCGAGTGTGGTGGATCTCCACGTGGTCGATCTTGCTCAGAGAGACAACGGGGTCCCATTGTGGACGCGCCACGGCGTGCTTAGAGCTTGGGTTTTGGCGAATCACCTTGTACATGGAACTTATCTTTACCGAATTTGGGTGAATTTAAGACTGAGCCTGCGTGAAAACCGGTAGCGGGTAGCGACATGATCGACATCTTTGTCTCTCCATTGAGACGGGGCGAAGGTGGAGTAGGAATTGCGATACCGAAGTGGTCTTGATCATTATTTTGTCGCAAAAGTCACCTTGGCATTTTTAGATGAAGAGTATTATGGATATAGGCCGTTCGACTATTTTCGTCGATATTCAATGGCCCCGCCGGTCAAGACGAAGAAGAAGAAGAGCAAGGATGTAATGTCCCTACTTTATTAATGAATCTTCAATGACTTAATTGTGTGTTTTAGAATCGCTACGTGTACATTACAGAGCGTACTCGGGTGAGTCTTAAGAGTTTAAACAGTGACGCCTCTAATCTGTCTACTGACGTCGCGTAGTATCTGCAACACGACATCCCTCCGATCGACACAGTGGTCGAGGAAGATAAATTACAGAAAAAGCTCATATCGGCGAGAGAGACGGGCAACTGGAAGCTGGAGGCTCAGGCGTTGATGCAGCTCGGCCAACTCATGAAGTGGCGAGGTCAAGAAGAGCAGGGCGACTTGTACCAGATCCAAGCGTCTTCTATCCTTCGAGCACACACATTCGCTGAAGAAGACGAACAAAGTGAGTAAACTCAATCAATAACTGCGTCTTGCGAACTGTCGTAGCTCTTGCATTGCGTTGGCGAAGAACTTGGTGTCTTCATGATACGCTCGACGGGCGTTGGCACCCATAGTAACTCGCTGCTCTGTTGTAGTTGACGTCATCATTTCTCGAACCACTTCACAGATGTCGGGACCTCGGAACGTTGCCACAAGTCCGCCAACGTCTCTTAAGCCATGCTGCCCTCTATAAGCTCCTCCCATCAGCATCTTTGGGTGTTGTCGTGTCTCCACTGGGATCAAGAAACCCGTCTTCTTCGTAATTAGCTCATTCATTGGAGCCAAGTCGGTCGTGACGACGACAGCTCCAGCGGCACGTGCTTGGTTGATATAGTGCCCATACCCTTCACTTACACTTGGACACATGAAGAACGTAGTATCAGCCGTCAACTTGGTAAACTGTGGACGTTCAACAAAACCTACGTGAACGTTGACGGGACTGCGACTGAACTTGAGGTACATCTTGAATTTGGGTTTAAACAAGAAGTTGAATGGCTTTTCGTCGATATAAACGTCCAGTTGAGGTAAACCCGGTACAAATACCCAACATTCCATTAGTTCTCTTGTGCCTTTTGCAGAGCTGGTACCGGCAGTATGAATAAATTTGATGTTGGAGAAATCCCTCGGTCGAATGACACGCTCACCCATTCGTTTGCGCGCGAAGTGTGCTTGGTCAGAAGACGTATGTTTGGTGTAAAACACGGATGTGCTGCGTGGATTTCCCTCTTGCTCGTACCAAAGTGTCACGCGGTCGTAACAAGTCTGTGTTTTACACAGTACCACGTCCACTCTCCAGTAATGTTCTGCAGTTAACTCGAACATCTCAATGTTTGGCATCAGATAGATCGGTTTATCTTTGGGCCAACGAGGCATCGAAGGTACGTCGCTCCAGTAGTGATTGAAGAAGATTATGGGCGTTTTGGGACACAAATCGAAGTAGTCAACTTCGAGTCCTTGATACGGATCATACAGTTTAACTTCCAGTGCCCATTTAGGCAGCAACCGAGAGTTTAAATCTAGAAATTAGAAAAAATAATTAGTAAACTAATCCTAAACTTTAGAACATTTCAGAGTACTTACACTTCGCGTACGCTACAGCGTCCTCGCAATATCCATTGCCATGTAGATCTGTCGGTAGGAAGATGTCCACATCGGGACATTTGCGTAGCTTTTCCAGTAGATTTGGGTCGTTTTGATGCATCACAACTTCTGGGTTGCTAGCTGTGGCGTTGGGTAGTTGATGTCCTGGACTACCGAGCTCCCAAGACAGCGATCCGTTGTTATCCGATACACAGTGTTCGTGTAGAAGGCTTAAATGCAGTAGATCTTCATCGGATACTTCATTCAGATCACCAGCACCAGCCGAAGGCTCGTACGCTTCATCCTCATCGCTCCGACGCCACGACGTCCGGAGCTCGAAGGCTCGCTGCAGTCGCGAGCTACTGAGTAGTCGACTCTTTGAAGCTTCAAACAGCGATGACGTTTGAAGCACAATGACGACGCCGCATAAGAGCAGGAGAACCACGAAGAGCCGATACAACTCGAAGTTTCTTGGTCGCGGCGATGGCCGCAGTTTGTCCATGACGAAGCAGTCGGTCTTGAGCCCAACTGGAACTGAGGGCAAGCCTCAAGTTTTTTTTCGCGTTGGATGGTGATGTAAAGCACACACGTACGTACAGATGCCACAACACACATCCCTTCCTTCTCTTCCACGATTATTTTATCGAATCTCAATTATTAAATGTTGAATTTATGGCATTTTAGCTAAAGTAATTTATGGCCTAATTCCACAAATAATTTCTACACAGAAACATAAAACCCACATCGTGATATTAACTCATGGCATATTCCCTTACTCTTTGCATAGCGTTTGCAAAGTACTTGGTGTCTGCATGGAACTGTCGGCGGGCGTTCAGACCCATGTCCGCACGTTCTCCAGGCGTTGTTTGCCACATCAATCGCTGCACCGCTTCACACACGTCGGAGCTTTCGAAGGCTGCCACAAGACCCCCAAATCCTTTTAACCCGTGCTCTCCTTTGTACTTGCCACCCAACACCACCATCGGATGCTTCTCACGTTGCACCGATATCAATATACCCGACTCGTTCGCAATAATCATCTCGTTCATGGGAGGTATATCGTTGGTAATAACGACTGCACCTGAAGCTCGAGCCTGGTTGATAAGGTGCCCATACCCTTCACTGTAACTTGGGTTTACGACGAACGAGGCGTCAGCGACAACTTTGCTGTAATTCATGCGATTCAGCATACCCAAATGGATACTAACAGGGCTGAGACTCCGCGCGATCTTTAATTTGTACGAAGCTGGGAACAAGCGATAGAACGGCTTGCGGTCGATGTATACGTTTAGTGGAGGTAAGCCTGCAGTGTATGTCCAGCACTCTAAAACTTCTCTTGTTCCTTTCGCAGTGCTGATACCTGCTGTGTGGACGACCCTGATATCGGAAAAATCCTTGTCTGCCACAGCGTATTCACCCAACCTCTTGCGGACGAATAAACCCGGATCTGTCGATGTGTGTTTTGTAAAAAACACCTTGGCGTTGCGTGGATTACCCTCTAATTCAAACCATTTCGTCACACGATCATAGCATTCACTTGTCTTGCAGAGGATGACGTCTACTCCGTAGTAATGCATCGGCGTAAGTTCAACGATTTCGATGTTCGGGACCATATAAATGGGTTTTCCTTTCGGCCATCGGGGCGATGCCGTCACTCCACCCCAATGATGATCAAGGAAAAGCATGGGTGTTTTGGGACACAAGTCAAAATAATCCACTTCACGACCCAGGTCTGGGTCAAAGAGCTTGATTTCAAGAACCCATTCAGGCAGCAGTCGCGACTCTAAATCTGTCACATTCGAGAAAAGACCCAGTTAATTCTAAAATCATTCATCCTCTCCTAAAAAAACCCATTCGTACATTTGACAAAGGCAACAGCGTCCTCGCAATAGCCGCTAGTGTGCACGTTATGCGGAAGAAAAACGTCGACACTTGGACACTGGCGGAGCTTCTGGAGTAGATCTTTGTCGTTCTTGCGCATCAGTACTTGTGTGTTATTGGCTGTTCCTCCTAGAGCCTGGTTTCCCGGTGAGCCGAATTGCCATGGTAGCGAGGTATTCGTGTCCGTGATGCAGACTTCATGTAGTAAACTCAGATGCAATAAGTCTTCGTCTGCAACAGCCTCGTCAGCCGATAAAAAGTAACTGAAGCGATTGCGCCACGTCAAGCCGATAACTCGATGCAGACCGAGAAGTTTATCTCCCGGTGGTCCAAGCAGCGACGTCGTCTCGATAATGAGCGTGAAAAGTGCCACTACCACGATCGGCACGAGGAGAAGCAGCGCCCAGCTCCGACGGCCGCGTGGAGGCTCCTCTGAACTCAACTGGCCCATGTCGACGCGATAAATGAAGCCACTCCACGTGGAAATCGACGACTGCAAATCCTGGCAAAGCTTCTCGTATTCATGGCAGTCACTGGCTTTTGCGTTTTTTTTTATTTTTATATTTTAAGAGATAAATTAAAAACCAATTTTTAAATACGTAATTTCGTACAAAGAAAAACAGTTCTTGTTATCTTCTGTTCCTTGCGAATTCCCGCAGCTCTTGCATTGTTTGCGCAAAGAACTTCGTATTTTCATGATATTGTCGACGTGCGTTGGCTCCCATAGCTGCGCGCTGTTCAGGTGTCGTGGTCTTCAGCAGTGCCAGAACAGTATGACACAAGTGGTACGACGACATCGCAGCAATGAGACCATTGGCATTCTTCAGACCGTGGTCTCCCTTAAAGTTGCCACCCAGCAGCATTCTGTCATCTTGTTCGTGTCTAGTTTGCACCACAACTCCCATTTCTCTCGAGGATATGAGTTCGTTCATCGGTGCTGCGTCTGTGGTAACGACAACCGCCCCAGACGCTCGTGCTTGGTTGATATAATGACCGTAGCCCTCATTTCTGCTGGGACACATAAAGAACGCGGCTTCTGCAGTCATTTTAGTGAATTTGGAGCGCTCAACCATACCCAAATGGACATTAACGGGACTGCGACTACGGTTCAGTCTGGCCTCGAATGGTGGAGGCATCATGTAGTTATACGTTGATGTACACGTCTAGCGGCGGCAAGCCTGCCGTCGAAGTCCAACACTCCAGCACCGCTCTTGTTCCTTTCCAAATGTTAGTAACGGGTGTATGGAGGAATTTGACGTTCGAGAAATCTTTCGGAGCGATAGCATCTTCCCCAGACGCTTCCGAGCGAATTGTGCTTGGTCAGAAGACGTGTTTTTGGTATAGAAAACTTCTGCGCTCCGTGGATTTCCCTCCTGCTCGTACCACTTAGTCACCCTGTCAAAACAGATCTGCGTCTTGCACAACACGACATTTACTCGCCAGTAAAGTTCGGGGGTCAGCTCGATCATTTCGATATTTGGCATCAAGTAGATGGGCTTGCTCTCTGGCCAACGCGGCATGGACGGCACGTCGTCCCAGTAGTGGTTAAAGAAGATCATTGGTGTCTTGGGACACAAGTCGAAGTAGTCCACCTCGCGTCCGAGCTCCGTGTCGTACATTTTATCCTGCAACGCCCACAATGGTAGTAGTCTCGAGTTCAAATCTGCATTATAACATCACAAAATAAACTGTTAGACCAGTACAATACACCAAAAATGGTGACTAAGACTCACATTTGGCGTATGCTACTGCGTCCTCGCAGTAGCCATTGCCGTGTAGATGACTAGGCAGATAAATGTCCACGTCTGGACACTGCTTGAGCTTCTGCAACAAGTTTGAGTCATTCTGATGCATCACAACCTCTGGATTGCTAGCTGTTGCGTTGGCCAATTGGCGACCGGGACTGCCGAATTGCCAGGGCAAAACTGCGTCTGTATCGGCCACGCAGCGCTCGTGCAACAGACTCAAGTGCAGAAGGTCCTCGTCCGACACCTCGTCGTCTCCCATGTCTGCAGCTGGAGTCGGTTCGGGCTCATTTTGTTGCAATTCATCGTTGACCGGTTGCAATTCATTAACCGCCTGCAATTCGCTGCTGTGATGGCGCCATGGGATCCGCTCGTTGATGGCACGCAGGCATTCCGAAATAATTATTGTATTGCTGCTTCAATACAATAGTTTACATTTAATTATTGATTTTTACAAATTGGATGACTTTTTCCAATTACCTATTTTGTATTTACAACAAAGTACTTTATTTTTTTCGTAAAATCTAGTTTTTTCTGCTTTGTTTTGCGTAAATACGGAGCTCGGTCTCCAGACAGAATCGAATGCAACGGTCGCTCAAAACGCGAACCTGAGGCGCTCGTTTATCATTTTTGATCTGACCATGGCTCTCGCCAACACCTTCACGACCAAGCAAGTCTGCAGCTACTTTTTTACTGCCAGCTTGGCGACTTCCAGTCGGCCACCATGAAGCTTCAAGACGACAACGTAACGCTTCTCGATGTGCGCGATATCTTTGATGCGCTCATCGAGAAGCATCCCGTTGTGAAAAAGTATCTTGCTGCCGACGCAAATACGTGGACTTCGAGCGAACGTGCGTTGTAGCCAGGCGCCGTGGACGAGCTGACGAACGACCAGGAGCTGATGTTGCAGCCATTTGAGACGGTACCCGCAATTACGACACCGGACACCAGGCACAGACGTCCACAGGGCTTTGCCGACAGAGTCTTGGCGACTAGAAAAAAGCGGCGCGGTGCAAAGAAGATATTTGATGGTGTGCTTTTCATCCCGCCGACGTCACCGTGGAGCGTCTTTTTAGTGTGGCGAAACATACTCTTTCCCACCATCGCCAGCGTATGCTGCCTATTCACCTTGAAACCGTGTTGTTCCTGAAGATGAATCGGCGTTTCTGGGACGCAAACACTGTAGCAGCTATCGTGAACGCAAAGTAATGTGCAGTGCTGTACATCTAAGTAGTTAATTTTCCAATACACTACTATTGATGTCAATTATTTATTTCTTAAGCTGTAGTTTTTGTAGCAATAGCTTATTTTGGCATGGACCTTCAATATGATTGCAATTGTATTATCGGAATGCCATTGGCACGTCGAAACCGCGCACTGCCCGAAAACTGGTCGCTCGAACGCCCCAGAAGCGCCAAAATCTGAACAATGAGAGCGAAGAAGCCTAGCAACACGAGGAAAACGAGAAGGCGGTGAAGACAATACCGTCGGGATGGAGACTTGGACTTTGACATTATCGGATGCCAATTGAGATTGTGTTGCACTGCAACACAAGTCCAAAAAGTCAGCTGTTCCAAAAGTGTGCTAAAGATGCCTATCTACGATTGGAGAGCATATTCCAACTTTAACCTCTTTAAACGAATGCAAATATGCTTATGTGCCAGATAGGTATTGTAGCAGTAAGAAGATACAGCGTAAACTGTACTACACCCTGTGACGTGATGCAAGTCTTTGAGTCATACGTTTATGATGCTTGCGGCACTTAGGTACGTGTACATGTACTACTTACAGAGTCAAACGTTTATGGGATGGTTGCGGCTTTTGGGAACTGTATTTTACATGTAATCCAAAGGATCTTCAGCGCTAACCTTGATCTACTGTATCTAGATCTGATGAATTTGTCAAGAAGTTCATGGCCAATATTGTACGGAAGGGCTCAATGTTCTCACCAACGCGAGGGTGTCACGGTGTACAGTTAGATGGAATTGACGATGCTGGCTGACTGCCTGCAGAAGGTCTACACACTCCAGACTCTCCGGACCACGTCCAAGCAAGCGGGACCTGCTGCCAAGACAGTGACGTTCCAAGTGTGAAGTCGTGGAGCAGCTGGTCGTGGCGGGAATTGGAGCTGGACCGCCACGCACGAGGGATCTGCTAAAAGGTAAGAAGCTCTAAAAACTCTTAGCGAGGTGAAATGAGGAAGTCAGTCGTGGATTTCCTTCTAACAAGCAACATAAGAATACATCAACTTTTACATTACTATCACAGTAGTGTCGCTAATACTACTACCTCCTACGTCGGCCCAAGATACTCACGACCCCGATTAGAGGAAGACCGCGACAATTTGGTGGAGAAGCAGGGTATCTTCTAGCCGAATTTCGTAGGAGTACAAGCGTAAGAAGAAGCCTTGGCAACGGAGTGCCAAGGAAGAAGGAGAGAGAAGTGGGAAAAGGATGAGTGCTCAAGGATGGTCCAGCGAGGGACTTGGAGCCGGTGAAGGGGTAGGGGGATGGGCTCCTCCGTTGGAAACGGAGCCCGTGGAGATCCTCGAGGAGGAAGAGGAAGCGCGCGCTGAGAGAGCTGCTGACGACGGCACGCCGCAGAGACTACAAGGGAGGGAACGCATCATGGACGGTCTCGCCCAACTGCTACAGAGGGCTGAAGTGACGAATGGAACGCCGGTGCCGTCACCAAGACCTCAAGCTACAGGACACGTGCCACGTACTGTGCCGACGCCGACCCGACCAATGACGTCTTCAGTGATGGGGTACCAAGGACCAATGACCCCGGGGATGAGGATTTAAACGCCGGTTTCGACACCTAGCCGAATGCCTATGGCTGCTATTCCTTCGTATGGGGGCGTGTCAATTCCAATGGCTGGTTCCCCGTGGACCGGTGGAGGTAGTTGAACGCCCCAACAGAGTGCGTTCTACCCTCCCTTCCACCGTCAATGACGTCGACACCTGGGTGGGCTACTGCTGGAACGATCCCCGCGTGGTCTGCAGCGTCTGCACGGCAGACACCTGCCAGCCCCAGAAGCGGAACGTATGGATTGCCGTTCCAGAGAACGCCTCCTATGAATGTTGCGACGTTCCAGGGACGAGCAGGAGCGCTAGGACAAGAGGGAAACGTGGGTGCTCAAGGAGGAAGGTACGCACCTAACGCAGTACCTACGCAAGGGCAAGTGACGAGTCCGTACTACGACCAAGGAGCCCGCAATGGCTCGCACGGGTCAGGAAGAGGTGCTCAGCAGGGCGTTCCGATTATCGGTTTCCCGACGAATTGCGGAACGCAGTGAAAGTTATCGTTCCATTCTACTCTGAGACGGCCACGTACGAAAGGGCGGCCGCGTTCTGGCGTTCCTTCGAGAAGTGTACGCTTGGTATGGACGACCAAATGCGGTTGACTGCCTTTGAGCAGTGTCTGAAGAGCAAGTTGGGCCAGGAATGGTGGTACAATGCGAGGATCAACGATTTTGAGACTCTGCGCGTGAGATTCCACAGCCGCTTCATCTTTCAGACGCCAGCTCAGTTGTGGAGCCGACTCAAGGCCGCAAAGAGGAATTACGGCGAATCTGCGGAAGAGTGTGGCGACAGGATCATCACGATGTGCGAGTACCTAAACTATCACGAGCCTCGTATGCAGTACGAGTTCTTCCTTGATGGGTTAAGGAGCAAGCAGATGCGTGCCGTTTTGAACGCGAACTTAGCTGCGTCGATCCAGGAAGCGTGCGCTTTATTGATGTACAAGAATCTGCACCTCCCTGTGGAAGAAGAAGACGAGTTTGCGAATAGTGGAACGACGGTGAGGAACGTGAATGCGGTGACGTCCACGCAGTCGCAGATGCTCCAGCAGCTTCAACAAATGAACCAGTTGATGCTGAAGCAGCAGCAGAATCCTGGAACGTCACAAGGGTTCGTTGGCGCCGTGGCTCCTACGAACGTTCCAAGTACTGGCGTTCCAACTCCGAATGGGAACGTGGCTGGCGCACCGCTCGGACCTCTTCGCATCCGACTAGGACCTGACTCGCGTACCACGGAAGGGGAAGTGGTTTGCGGACGCTGTGGTCGTGTTGGATGTGGACGTGAGACGTGTCCCCGTGGACAGGGCCGTTGCAATCGGTGTAACGAACTTGGACACTACTCGATGGAGTGCAACTGGCCCAGACCTCAAGGGAATTACCGGAACGGAGAGCGACGCCAAGCGGAATGTCTGCTGTGTGGTAAGACGGGTCACCTGGTGGCGAGATGCCCGAGCCTCGATACTTTGCGAGGAATGATGCAGAGCGTGGCCGCTGGGAACGTGACTGCACCCGCTGGTACGTCCCAACAATGAAGGGGGCAGGAGGAAGGGGAAGGAAGTGTCGCTCCTTCCTTATGCCTGGTTGGCGACACGGAGAGAGATGAGGTTTCACCGCGACAAGACTTGGCGGGTGAACAACAGAGGGCTCTCGGGAGAGGTGTGATGAGCGATGAAGGCGCTCGTGACGTTCCTGTCACGAGCATAACGACGGAAATTGTGGAAACTAAGAGTGGAACGAGCAGAGAAAGCAGTCCGACTGAACGGACTGGGCTAGGACGAGACGGGAAGATTGAGGGCTTTACGGAGAGGCCCGCACGAGACGGAGTGGTCGCTGAGGTAACAACGGAACGTTCCTCTGCTACGCTGAACTGGGATAACGAAAAGAGGGCACGCTCAGAGTTGGTACAGGACGTCAGTAAGGGAGCAACGGAGCGCCCCGAGACTGCGTCAGACGCCAAGAACGAGTGTCTAGAGAAAAAGGGCTCTATCGAGAGGCCCGTACGAGAGAGAGTGGTCGCTGAGGAAACAACGGAACGTTCCTCGGCGAAGCTAAACTGGGAAAACGGAACAACGGAACGTTCCAAGTTGGTGGAAGACGTCAGTAAGGGAGCAACGGAACGCCCCGAGACTACGCTGGACGCCGAAGAGAAGTGCCAAGAGAGCGAGGAGGTGGAGACGCTGTCCACCCGCTCAAAGCAGTACGAAGGAGCACTCGAAACGATCACGGAGGACGCATCTAGCGCCAGGTCAAGTCAGTTCTCGGCAGTCATTGGAGAAGTGAGTACAGGTCAAGAAAGGACAGAAGCTCAGAAGGCCGAGGAGGACGAGGAACGTACTAAGGGGAAGGATTCGACGCAACACTACGAACGCCTCTTTACCGACGAGGAGCTGGATATGCTCGAGCACGGTGGCAGCCAGGTAGTGAAGATTGAACCCGAGGAGTACGAGAAGGAACTGGAA